GTCCCGCGGGTCGGGGAAACCGGCGCGCGCTCCGGAGGCGGGCGGCCAGCGGCTGCAAACGCCGCGCGGGAGCGCAGCAGAGTGCAGACCCTGCGGCACGCCTTCCTGGAGCTGCAGCGCACGCTGCCTTCTGTGCCCCCCGACACCAAGCTGTCCAAGCTGGACGTGCTGCTACTGGCCACCACCTACATCGCGCACCTCACCCGCAGCTTGCAGGACGACGCCGAGGCGCCGGCGGATCCCGGGCTGGGGACCTTACGCGGCGACGGCTACCTGCACCCGGTCAAGGTAGGTGGGCAGGGCGCCCTGAGGGGCTGGGGAAGGAGGACACCTTGACCCGCCCAGTCTGTCAATTCCTGGGCCGATTCCACCGTGTCACCCCTTCCTTCTGGTGAGGCGGGGAACAGACCAACAAAGTGATCTCGACCTACGAGGATATCCGTGGCAAGGTCCCCACTACATGAAGCTGCTCCTTAATGATTTTCAGAAGGGCGTGAGGTGTTTAAACCCGAGGCGGTTTGGGTAATGGTCTCTCAGGCCCCTTACAGGATTCAGCATGAAGATTTGGGCGCCTTCCAAGGTGAGAAATGGGGTGCTTGGCTGCACGACCCGACAATTTTTAGTGTCTGAGTTACATTTGCGACCCTTTGAGAGTTTTTAAGTGTCTTACGTTTACATAATTACAATTCCATTGTAATTTTTTAAATGTATTGTTCGAAAGGTTTCTGAAGTAAGTAGAGTTATGAAATGATCAGTCCCTAAGTAATCCTAAAAAGCACTGTTAAAATTTTTTGGTAAAACTAGCAGAACAAATGCTGTTGTGCATCCCCATGGGTAAATTTTAAATCTGTATAAATAAAGAGCAAATGTTATGGATTAGACATTGGAAATGGCTATAATGGCTTTATGTAACTTCCATAATAGATTGGCATGCATGTTTAGTGAATTGATTCAATGCTATTTTCAAATTCAATAAGGTACAACATTAGCCAAGAGAATACATTTTGCATAATCTCCTTATGCATATTTGGAAAGGTCGTGATTCTTTCTTGTATATTGTCAGCGTATTTTTTTTTTGGTGTATCTTTCTTGTATATTGATTTAGCACCTATATTGCAGTATTTTTGTCTCTGTGTCATCCTTTATATTTAATTTTTTTGAAACTTTTCATGATGTGGCTTTCTATTCAAAATTCCTTATCTTTTCTGTTATTTGCTAAACCTAAATTTTCAAAAAGTTCCATTATTCTGAAGTGTTCTGCCACACACACACACATGAGAACAAAAATACAAAATTAGGACTTAGCTTTAAATATACCAGTGTTTAATAAATTATTGAATAATCTTTATATGGTAATAATCTAAATATGGTAAAGCATACCATCTAATATTAGCCGAACTTAAAATTCCGTGGTGAGGTTTAACAAAATTTGCTTTTCAAATATAATTGACATCATGATGATGATGATGATGATGATAGACTTAACCCATTTCAAATGTTATATATAAAAAGTACAATATCATTTCTTTATAATTATGATAGGCCCCCCATCCCATTTGTGACTTTTATAAGGTACTTTCAGTGGAAATATCACTCATTATCTGTGCCCTGTGGCAAAAAAACCCCACTCTATTAATTAAGAGGTTTTGTAGTATAGTGTACCTCTTAGATTGCTATTCAAATATACCATTAGTGTTAGAGTTCTTTTGATTTGAGATTTGACACATATTATTCTAAGAAAGTTTAGTATAGCATTAAGCAGATTTTAATACAAAAAGTATCTATTAAATGCCTCATTTGTAGGAGATGTAATTCAGAAGGAGAAACAAAGTTGTTACCTTAGTTTCTTTCAGTGCTTTTAGCTAGAAGCATCATTTTGATGTAACAGTAACTATAGCCAGCAGGGTTTTTACACTTGATTCATGTACCAATGTTTTTGTACTTATAACTGTTTTAGGAAAAAATTAATTCTCATTTGTTCTCTGACTTATTTTGATCTTACATGACAACTTTGAGAGATCTTAATACAAAACCAGAGATTACTTCTTAAAAATTAATGATGGTTGAGCAAGTGACTAACATCAAACAAATTTTAAAACCATTTGTTGGGTTCCTACTGTGTGTAAAGCAGTTTTAGAAGAGTGATTACATTTATGTATCTGCCCTAAGTGGACATATTATAGAAATTAAGACAAAAATACAATAAAGGCCCAGCTACAGTAGTACTCTACAGCACTAGCGCCATGTGGAATACTACTGTGATCCCAGGTTAATCTGAAACATGCATGTTTGTTGCTTGCAGAGTGGAGGCGTAGTGTCATAGAAGGAGAGGACCCTGTCCAGGCTTCCTGTTTCTCTCTCTTTCCTCTCTCCTCTCTCTGTCTCTCTCTCTTGCTCATACACACATGCACAAGAAATAAAATTTAAAAATACAAAGTAGTGTAAGGAAGAATACAATATTTACTATTAAAGAGTTATAACTATGTGCTATGGATGTTTAGAGGAAAAATATTTTATATAATGGAAAATGACTGTTAACATTATTTTATAGATACTTCAAAATGTTTAAATATTAAGTCTGTCTTTGATTAATTCAGAATCATTAAGACCATTTTGAATATTTGTACTTTTCACTTAACTAAAGGCTCATAAATTATTATAGCTCTTACTGGGAAGTGACTTTTTCTGCCTTACAGTGCAATGTTATTAAGTCTCACACTGATGATTAAAGATCTTTTATCAAATATTTAAAGGCCATAATTTTGAGCCATCACTCCTTATTACCAGAATATTAGCCCCTTAGTACTGTTGGGGCTTTATATTTAAAATGTCTCAAGTGAAACTGGAAAGTTTCTGAGAGTGGATCCTGGACAATAGCCCAATACAGTGGTTTTTATGCCTGTGGGGTGTGAGTGATTTTGATCAGCACCAGTGACCCGAAGGGTTGTGATTCTTCAAAAGAACAGAAGTATATTTCAGCTCTTTACACTGGGAGAAAAACACAGATGAATTTATTAACTGCTGTACTCCTCAAGAATCATTGTCCATAATATAGATAATCATTTAAAAAATAAATACAAAGAGTATTGTTATTTAGCAGTATGATTTAACTAGACCAAGAGTGCATTTTTAAGGTCTTCAGTTTCAGGTTTAGTTCTGGTTAATTGCTAGATTTTTCTGAGCTTAATAAAACTACATGGTTTTAAGTCAACCTTATCAGGGAAAGTAGAGCTCAGGATTGTGTTCATCTACACAACACTAAAACAAACTATTGAACAGTGAAATGTGAATCAGTTATCTGGTTTTCGTGGCATGGTAACATGCAACCTGACAAAAATTTTATTTACATTTTAATTTCTGTCTATCAAAACTATATACATGTCTACATTAAATTAACTATATACATGTCTCACATTATAAACCTTTTAGAAAATTAAGGACACCAAGGTTTTATAAGTTTTATTACTTTATTAAATCCATGAGAAATAAGGCAAAAATCCACATACGCACTTTTAGGCTTGTTTCATTAATTACTTATGTTCCGAAGATATAAGGAACACATGCCTTCATTTGTCTCCAAGCTTGGTTGAATGGTGTAGAGTGCTTCTCAACACAGTGGGATCCAAGTGGCACCTATGAAAACCACCAGGGGAACATTCAGTAGTATTTTAATTTTTTTCCAGTTGTATTTAATTCACGTAATTCTGGAATTATATTTGATATTTGGCATGAGATTTTTATGGTTATAATATTGCCAAAAAATCCTGCAGTGTAAATAGATTATATATTTTTTTTCTTTTCTTTTCTTTTTTTTTTTTTTTTAGAGATTTTTGCTATAGGGCACATCTACTTGCCAGAGAGAGTGAGAAAGACAGAGACAGAAGCAAGAAATCCCCTGGAGAATGGCCATGCCTCAATCCCTTCTCCTCCATTCTCCTCTCAGGATCTTGGGCTCGCACGCATGCGTACCCAGCATGAGTTTCAGGCTTACACACACCCAGCATGAATTTCAAGCTGCTGATCCAGGACTCAAACGTCAGAGGACTACGTGGGAGTCCAGCGAAGTAACCATTATGCCATCTGCTGGTCCCAGAAGTGGATTGTTTCTACCCTGTACTATTCATGACATATCAGTCTGCTCAGGCTGCCATAACAAATATACCACGCACAGGGTGTCTTAACAACAATTTGTTTTTTCACCATCTGGAGGCTGAAAAGTCCAAGGTCAGGGTGCCAACAGGGTCTAGTTCTTGGCAGGGGCACTCTTGCTGGTTTGCAGATCGACCCACTTCTTGCTGTGGTCTCACATGGTCTCTGCTTATTGGTACATGCACACGTAGAAGAGAGAGAAGAGAGAGCGGGTATGCGCTTCCTCTTTGAAGGCCACTAGTCCCTGGTAACCTAATCTAATGCTAATTACCTCCCATAGGCCTCACCTCAAACCTAATCACCATGGGGGTTAGGGCTTCAACACAGACATTTTGAGGGAACACAGATATTCACTTCCCAACACTAGCCCTAGGGTCTTCAGTATAATGTGGGACTCAATTTGGATCTAACAGTGCAAGTCATACCAGATGAACCTCAGGCAATTCTAAAACACCTTACCTTACCAGCCTGTTACAAGGATCCCTAGAATAAGACTAGTGACAGTGATATACACAGAATTAATAAGAATGGGTATGTGTTATTTAAAAAAAAAAAACAAAAAAAACCTGAATTGAATTTTCAAAAGTAAGTAGCACAGTGGGATCAAATTTACTTACTGATCAAATAGAACATAAAACGTCATCTGTAGGAATGCTATATAGGGATGAGCCATTTTAAATTCTACATAACACATATTTATCTGTTTTTAAAGTATAGATTCCCAGTTGGAATTATCATAATTTAGGACTCTTAAATGATCTGAACGGCTTAGGAGAAAATTCACTTATCATATCTGGAGACATAAAAACAGAACTTTTGTAGGTTGTCACAGAACAGAAACTTTCCAGATAATATTATTTGCCCATTTATTTATTTATTTATTAATTGCTAGAGGGCATTTTTGTTCACCAGGGAGAGGGAGAGAGAGAAAGAGAAAAAGCACCCACCAAAGCGGTGTGGGCATGCTTTTCAAGCCACTGAGGCCACTGGTCAGCCATGTGGGATTTAACCACTGTGTTATAGGGCCAGCCCCTCACCTACTAATTATATTTTAATATATAATTATTTATTTAATTTAATTTATTATTATTATTATGAATTTGTTATAGGACACATGCACTCACCAGGGAGAGAGGGAGAATAAGAAAGCAAGCCACCAGGTCTGGACTAAAACCATAGTCAGCCATGTGGGAGTCCAGTGTATTTTTTTTTTTTAAGGGAGGTTTTGCTATAGGGTTTGTGTGCTCGCCAGAAAGATAAAGACAGACAGAGAGACAGAAAGCGAGAAATCACCCCCCAGGGGGGATGACATGCCACAATCCCTTCTCCTCCATAGTCCTCTCCGTATCTTGGGCATGCATGCACATGTGCCCAGCATGAGTTTAAGGTACCAGTCTGGGACTCGAACCGCGGTCAACTACATGAGAGTCCAGCAATGTAGCCATTATGCCATCTGCTGGTCCCAGGAGTCCAGTGCCTTGACCTCCCCCCTCCCTGCTGGCCCTCCATCTGTTATTCTTTTTTTTTTTTTTTTTGGAGAGGTTTTTTGGCTATAGGGTGCATGCGCTCTCCAGACAGACAGAGAGAGACAGAGAGACAGAAATCGAGAAATCATCCCCCAGGGGGATGGCCACACCGCAATCCCTTCTCCTCCATTCTCCTTGATCTTGGGCACACACGCACACGCGCCCAGAGTGAGTTCAAGCCACCGGGTCCAGGACTCGAACTGCAGTCGAGTACGTGGGAGTCCAGCGACATAGCCATTATGCTAACTGCTGGTCCTTCCATCTGTTATTCTTCATGTCTAGTCTTTACATTTAGAATTCCAGTTTAGGTGAAAATAACTGTGCCCAAAAGTACAATGAGAGCTTATGTTAGCAATGATCTGACTCTCCCTTACACTCTATTACCTCTATAGTAGAAATAACCTATTCCAATTTAGTTGCTCTGGGGCAATACTTGGACATCAGTATCTGTTTCAAGCTCTCTGGGTGATTTTAATACACAGCTTGGTTGAGAACCTGGAGCTTTTATGTTCTTTGGCATGTTACTAACTGCTCCTCTATTTGAGCGATGCAGATTGTCTACCAGCCTTATTTTTTGAATTTCACAGTGCTGGTCACCAGTGGTCTGCCTGCACATGTTTGCTAATGAAGATAGGTGACTGCTGCTCACAGCAACATTTTCTCCCAAAAGAATGTGGGACCTCACTGTGCTGGCCTTTAGGAATTGTGCTTTTTAAAATTATCTCTCTTTCTCTTTTTTTTTTAGAGAGAGAGATTTTTGCTGTAGGGTGCATGCACTTGCTGGAGAGACAGAGACAGAAAGCTAGAAATCACCCTCAGGGAAGATGACCACACAGCAATCCGTTCCTCTCCATTTTCTTCTCAGGATCTAGGGTATGCATGCACATACTCCTGGTCTGAGTTTTAAGCTACCAGGTCCAGAATTTGAACCATTATCAGCCACATGAGAGTCTAGCACCTTAACCACACACACAAAAAAATGTTCCTTTCTGAAGGTATTACATACATATGTTTATATTCATCATTATGCCTATCTGGCAATAAATTACATTGTTCGACAAGTTGTTCATCTTTTGCTTTTGCTATCCACCAGATATCATCTCACAGGATAAGTGTACATGCACTACTTCCATCTTTTTTTTTTTTTTTTTTGCCACAGGGAATGTGCACTTGCTGGAGAGAGCCAGACAGTGAAATAGAGAAAGCACTCCTCATGGGAAAATGGCCATGTCATAATCCCTTCTCCTCCATCATTCCCTCTTTTCTGGCTTTTGTACACGCCTGATGCATTTCTCAAGCCACCAGGTCCAGAGCTCAAACTGCACAGTCATCCATGTGGGATCCAGCTGCCTTAACCACCATGCCACAGGCTGGCTCTTTAAAGGTTGCCTATTTTAAAGATGAATTGAAAAAAATTATAATCATTAATTCAAATGTGGTGGTTACTGGGAAGTTAGAGCTGTATGATTCTAATAGACTCAGATATTCAATTTAGATGTTCTATCTCTTTAACACCAAAATATTTGCAATTTCCAGATATTGCTTTTAGTTGGAGAAAAATGTTTAGATGGTTCAATTAGCCACTTTTCATTGTGATTCTTTGACAAGTATAGATACAATACTTATCACATACAACTTTTAAAATATCGTTTTAAAAAATAATTATTTATTTTATTTTATTTATTCATTAATTTTTTTTTTTAATGTGACCAGAAGGAGACAGAAGGTGAGAATGAGAGAGAGAGGAAGTGAGAAAGCAAGCCACCAGATTCAGGACTTGAACCCTGGTCAGCCATGTGGGAGTGGCCAGCGCCTTAACCACCACGCCACCTGCTGGTTCCCAACTTTTAAAATATCTTAATAGCCAGAGATCTAGCTTAATTTTATTTTAGGCTTAGTTCAAAATTAAAATATTGGATTTATTTTTTTATACTTCATTTATATTAATTCTCCATGATTTCTTATAGTTTTTATCCATATGCAAATATTATTTCTACAGTTATAAAGTCTATTACTTTTTTTAAAGAATTATGTATTTAATTTTATTTATTATTATATTTTAATTTGCTATAGTGCACATGCTTGCACCAGAGACAGAGACAGAGAGAGCAAGCCACCAGGTCTGGGACTTCAACCGTGGTCGACCAGTTGGAAATCCATTGCTCCAAACCCACACCACCTGCTGTCCCTTATTACTTCTTTTAAACTTAATTTATTTCTTATAGAACTATTTTATTTAACTTTATTCAGCCTTGTTTATTTATTTATTTTTTATTTGATCAGAGAGACAGAGTGAGAGAGAGAGACGGAAAGTGAAAAAGCAAGCCGCCAAGTCCAGGTCTCAAACTGCAGTGGGACATGTGGGAGCCCAGTGCCATTAACCACCATGCCACCTGCCAGCCCCTTCGTAAGCTCATTTCTTACTTATTTCTTCCATGAGCAAGAAACAGCACCTCCAACAGGTTCTTGTTACCATGATCCACTCTCAGCTTCAGTCAGCCCTAGGTCATGGGCATGCGCATGCCATTGTAATAAGGAGGTCTCCCAGTGCAAATCTAGAACCTTCCCACGTGGGTCAGCCTCACAGAGCATCGTGTTTTGCACCTACACCAGTCCCTCTGCCCCATTTGTACTTTTATTATTAGCATTATTAAACATTTTATATTCTGTTAGACTAAATAGTTATAATTGTTACTAGTGACATAATATTACACTTGCATTAGGGTACTGGGAATTTTTATATTACAGATCATGTTATATATGTTATAGATACTAACTTTTGGATTCTTGTTTAAATATTCTTTTTTCAGAAATGGCCTATGCGATCAAGACTATACATCGGTGCTACTGGTCAGTTTCTAAAGCATTCTGTCTCTGGAGAAAAAGCGAATCATGGCAACAGCACAACAGACTCACAGCCTTAAACTCTCCCCTGGTGGGGGCTGCTAGAAGTAGAGG